AGAGAGAGAGAGAAAGCGAGATACAATCGAGAGTAGTCTAAGGCCAATATAAGATGGTGGTAAGAGCTCTAAACGTAAGTAACAAGAAAGGAAACCTATATAGTGTGATGTCACGGATGTGACTGTATGCGTGTAAGTAAGCGGTACGTTTACACCCCCACCCAGTTAAAATCAAGGAAGGGAGTAGACGAATGAAGCAGAGAGCAATCAGAATGTAAAATAAAGGAAAATGGAAGGGAGGAGGGAATGAGAAACATTGAAGAAGGTGTAAAAAAAAATCATTAAAAATCATTAAACAAGGGCAGAAAAGTCAAAGGAAACGAGGTCAGAGTTCAACGGAATCCAACAAATCTGGGGGTCCGTCCCCACCATTACGCACCCAATCGTCGAGTGCGGAGCAGTCATGTAAGGAAGAGTACGAAAGCCAACGGTCTTCAGATGGCGCCTGATCCACCCAGCGAACGAGAAATTGCCAACCGCGACCTCGACGTCGCGAGTCGATGATCCTCTCGATCTCGAACTCTTCGAAACCATCGACAATGGTGGGTGTGGGGGTGATACGTTCCCGACCAGGGAATAAATCGGCTTTGTTAGCTACATACCGTTTCAACTGATCAACATAAAAGGAAGGGAAGGCATTAGGATGATTCGGCATGTCCAGGGTGTAATGTGATGTTTCCGGATATGCTTTCAGAACTTCGTAAGGTCCATCAAAACGAGGGAAAAACTTCGCCACACGTTTTTCACCAGACTTTTTAAAAATTTCCCTCCGGTGCCAAGTACTAAGCATAACGAGGTCACCAGCCTTGAACAGTTCACAAGGACCCCGGTTTTTATCTGCTTGATAAGCCTGTACGACCTTGGCCAAAGCCAAGTTATCCCGCGCTTCGCGAACTGTGTTAGCGATGTCAACAAGGAAGGAGCGCGCATCCGACGCATCTTGTGAAGGATCGTTCTTCCTGGAACTGCTGTCTGGAACAATATGAGGGAGCACTCGTGGAGAACGACCGTAGCGCAACTGGAACATTGATAGCCCAGTGGATGCACTAACAGAATTCATTATATCAAAACGAATTTTTGGCAATGCGTTGACCCAACCGATTTGATTACGTTCGACATAGAACCGGATAGCCTGATTCACCGTTTTGTTCGAGCGTTCGCTAGAACCGTCAGTCTCGGGATGAAACGAGGAAGACATCTTGATTTTTACACCGGACAGTTTGTTCAGCACTGACCAAAATTCCGAGACGAAAAGCTTGTCGCGATCGGATACCCATTCCAAGGGTAAACCGTTGTCACAATACCAAGTGTCGAAAACCAAACGGGCCAATGCAGGCGCCGTAATATCTACTGTAGTTGGGATAATTTTCAGGTCGGAGCCCAAACGGTCAGTCATAGTTAGGATGCAGTTGTAACCCTGATCAAGAGGGAGCGGTCCAATGAAGTCCATAGCCACGCTGTCGCACCGAGCTTCTGGTACTGGCAAGGGGTGTAACGGCCCTTTACCGTTCTTGGCAGTACGTCCCTTGTTTCGTTGACAATCTTCGCAACCCGGAACATAATGCTTGCACAAATCCCGTCGCATATTCGGCCAGTAGTAAGAATCCGCCAACATCGAGTACGATTTGTCGGCACCAAAATGACCACATGTGTCATGAGCAAGATGGAAGAGGTCCTTGCGTAGGGACAGGTAATCAGGAATAATAAGTCTATTATCAAAGAACCATAGTCCGTTTTTATGCTCAATGCCGGGCACGAGTGATCCACCTTCTATAAGCTTTTTGACAAAGGGGTCAGACTTATAACCTTCCTGAATATGCTTGAGGAAGGTAGCATCAGCTGACAAGGACAAGACAGAGGAGCAGATGAAGGGGTTCGATTTCCAGGCTTCGACACAGTGTGTTATTCCATTGGAGGAGTCACAGGCAATGGGATCAGAGGGAAGGGCACCAGCCTTGATGCGGCTTAGGGCATCAGCAGCGGAATTCAGTTCACCCGCGATGTAAGCAATCTCCAGGTCAAACTGACTTAATTCCTCCTGCCAGCGAAGTTGACGGCGACTCAAATCTTTTTGAGTTTCAAAATTCTCCAGTGTTTGATGGTCGGTCAAAACGTGTATGTGCATACCCAAACAATCTGCACGCCACTTACGTAGAGAACGTACAATGGCAAGGAGTTCCTTTTCATGAACTGGATAGTTTAATTCAGGTCCAGAGAACTGTGCGGAATCGAAAGCCACGGGGCGCGCGCTGTCCAGTGTAGGACCCCACATGAGTACCGCGCCATGTCTCCAATCGCTTGCATCAGTAACCAAAAAAATATGATTGTCACCAGGGTTGTCGTGATCAATAGTGACGAGACATTGCCTACTGAGGACGAGGGTCTTTATGTTCGTGAAGGCATGCTCATGTTCGATTGACCAACCTGGAAAATTCTTGTCGCATTCCTTCTTTGTGAGTGGCGTAAGTATTCGGGTAAATTCCGCTAGATTTTCAAGGTAACCAGCTATGAAACGGACCATACCCAGAAAACGTCGAACCTCTGAAGCAGAAGTAGGGCTAGGATAGTTTATAATTGCCTCGCACTTGTGGTGTTGGGCCTCAACGCCACGTCGAGAAATGTGGTGACCCAGAAAATCAATTTCGAGTTGGAAAAATAGGCACTTCTTTGGGTTACAAAACAGCTTAGCATTTCGAAGGGCTTCCAATATTAACTCAACATGATGTGCATGTTCCGCTTCATCCTTCGACCAGATGATAATGTCATCCAAATAGACATGACAAAAACGACCGATGTATTCACGGAGAGCTTGAGTTACACGACGTTGTTGAATAGCAGGGGCGTTCCTCAAACCCTGAGGCATGACGAGCCATTCATACTGACCCAAAGGTGTTTGTACAGACACAAGGGGAACGGACGCAGGGTCCATGCGACTTTGAAAGAAAGAATCTGTCATGTCCATTTTACCCCATATTTTACCCTTGGCACAGTCACTCAAGATAGTGTCAATACGTGGTAAGGGATGGCGGTCAGGCACAGTGTTCGCGTTAAGCTTGCGGAAATCATTAACCCAACGTGGAAGGGCGGTGGGGTCAGCTTTGGGTACGAGAAAGGCAGGGGAAGAGAATTGTGAAGACGAAGGGCGAATGCGACCAGCCTGTAGATGTTTTTCAATCAGCAAAGACCAGGCCTCGCGATATTTACGCGGAGAAGCGTAACCTCTAGATTGCATTGTCATGTTTGCTTCCTTAAGTGTGATATTGCACGTAATGTCAGTGGGGAGCTCGTCAATGTGGGGAATTTCACCAAAAACGTCCGCAAAACGAGCTTTAACATTATCCCCAAGTAGTCGCAGTCGTTCCAATTCAGACAAGCACTCAATGCGGGCTCGGACAGCAGCAGCAACATCAAAGGCAGTGACCGGATCGGATTTACGCAAATGAGGGTGGTCATGAATATAACTTTTTAATTCTAGAAGGACAGTCTTTTTTAAATCAAGTGTATTCTCGTACGTATTGCGAATTTCACGGCGGCGTTGAACAGGAGAAGATGATACGGGGCGAGGACACGAGACTGGGTTCATGAGGTCAAAACCCGAAGTCTTGTCCATAACAGTACGGGCAGCGTAGTCGGTAACTAGGAAGTTATGTGCAAGGAAAGGGATACCAAGAATCATGGGAAAACACAAGGAAGGAACAATTAGGGCGCGAACAGAGCGAGATGTCCATGCCCCGGAAGGGTCTTCGAGACTTAATTTACAATAGGACGATGCGGTGAAAATTGATGGTGAACCTTCAGACATAGCAACAGACATTTCTTGTGGTTTATGTAGATGGCGAGCCATCAACCCTAAAGACATTACGATGTCAGCTCGAATTAGAACAAATGGACAACCGTTGTCAATTAGAAGTGGAAACGGAGAAGAAGACGAAGAGACGGAGGAGGACCCCCGGAGGTTTGCATTCCAAATGAAATGAGGCAGTTCGAAAGGCATCAAGGATTCACGTACTTCAATGGATGGCTCACGATGCTCATCATCCGTATCTTTAACGGCTTTAGGTGAAGGCGAACCAGACCCATCGGACCAATCCACCTCATCATCACAATCATCCCTCGTGAGGCGATGTTGACCGACAACTGGAGCGACCACATTGGAAGAAACAACCGAATGACTACGGAACAGCGCAGGAGGAGCAAAATTTCCATATACTGCAGTATCCCGAGCGACGTGTGCAACAGGCAGTTTACCATAGACGGCAGCGGCAACCGGAGCACGGGCGTTGACATTATCGACGTATGCACTGATATCGTCCAAAGGCATACCATGTACAGAGGCCACAGCAGTCCTAGTGGCGGCCTGCTTGAGAATCGCATTGTACAATATAGGACGATTAGTGGACTTATGCGCAGAGATAGCCCAATCGACCATCTCAGGCGTCAAAGGTTTCCAAGGAACAGACAATGTTGCTCCGGCGCAATTGTCAAGGTTTGAACCGCATGTAGCCCAAGCGGTTCGACACTTCGGGCAAGCACTGATACGACCCAAGAGGTCGCGTTGTTCCTTTTGCAACGCTTCAGGCATAGACTTGAAGGATTTCATATAGAACACGCCGTTGGACCCATTAGAGGTATTGCCGTTTGCGGACGAAGGTCGTTTATTTGGATAAGAAGATGGTTCGGAAGTAGCGTTGCACTTATGCGCAGGATTGTTATTGTTTGTGGCGGACGAAGCATTGTATGGAAAAGCGCCATATGTATATAAACAGGCCATATCCTGTACTGGAATCCAACTCGCTTCTCTCTTACTTTTATTGCCTCACTGAGACTCTAAGCCCTACTACCCAGGTAAGGTGCTGGAGAGTGCTCCACTATGCACTACCTGCCTGCTCAACAATAAACTCTGTAAGCATATTGCAGATGCACTGAAGGCTCGATCACAGGCAATTTGTACCGCAGTCACTATTGACAACATTGCTGCCTCTGAGCTTAATCGACCTGAACTCAGTTCAGATCAGGGCATTGAATATACCTTCCTTTCTGACTTCGACCTCCTCTGTGATGCTTGGCAAGACATTCACTGTGAGTCGTGGGCTCAGCCTGCTGCATGTCTTGCTCTTGACCAGTACTACAACCTTGTCCATGCCAAGGAAGAGATCATGAGACTGAACAAGGAAATATGGTCACTGACCCACCAGTATTCACAAAGAAACTGTGTATATCCAGCTGAAGGTCAAGGAACAGTCTGACCCTCTCCTTGCCATCCAGATCCAGCAGTACAGATGGGAATGTGGCTGCTGCAACATGTGATTGTGGGCCACTGCACATCTGTGCATGGTATTCACACAGCTTCAAGATTAAATGATAGTATGTATTTTTGGAGCATGCAGTGAGCACCGCGTGCAACTCATTTTCATAATTTCTTCAAGCATGGTAGAGAACAATAGGAGGATAGACTTTATATAGAATGTGCTTGCAGGTACATTGATCTTTGTCACAAGACCTGTGATTAAGTCACATGGGCATCACAATAAATGAATTGACAAAACTATTTGTTACATGATGACCATATTGTAAGACCTGGGTCAGAATAGGTCTTAGGGTAGGGTTTGGTATATGAAGGTTTATGTTGTAGCGTGCTAGGAGCAGGCTGGAGCTCGAAGGGAGCTATGGGAACCATGACCGAGGACAGGAATGACCTAGTAGTGGATGGGACGAAGAGATGGTGACCCTTGAGGGAGTTCCTAGGAGGTCCAGGGAGGTCCTAGAACGTCAATATAGGGTCCGAATAGGTCGTAGATGGAAATGGGTCTTGAGGTGGTAAGCTCCCAAGAAGGTATACGCCCGGGAAGGTAGGTTCCCGGGGACTGGGCTTGAGGAAGGATGTCCTCGAGTGTTGGAGGTGGTAACGGAGAAGCAATACGTGGTTTGACGTGAGGGGTAGCTTCGACGTTACTTAGACCGAGGTCCCGAAGCTTACGAAGTGGCTAGGAAGCTCTGGGAGGTCTGGGGAAGGGTAGCTCACCAAAGTGTTTAGGCGTTGGGGAGCTTTAGTAATGTTCGAGGGAGCTCGGAGACTCACTCGGATGGCTTAGACTTGAAGTAAAAGCGTATATTTGATCGTATATGTCAAGTCCATGCCGCGGGCCTCCATTCCGCCGCTCGGGATTCCGAAGATCTGCTCTTATTGTAATCTCTTCCTATTGTTCTTTCGCGCTACACATATCCTTTCGTTCTAGTTTCTCATTATTGTCTTTTACTCTTTCGTCCTAGTCTCTCCTTATTGTCTTTTACTCTACCCTGCAGGTACTACTCGTATAGCTCCTAGTAGTTAGTCTAGCGCTCCGCACCGATGCGCCGTTCCGTAGATATAAATACTGCCTGTACGCTACTGTAGTTCCTCAGTTTAATTATCAACTTAGATCAACTTAGATCGACTTAGATTCCCTCCTGTACTCTGTGCTCCTCTAAGTCTTCAGGCTCACTGCCTCGAAGTACTCTCTACCCTACCTTAGGACTTATACGTCCTCTGGTTCGCTCCTCGTCACCGGCGATACCGCCGCTCCGACTTGGCTGCTACTTAGCTTCTCTCTCTCTACTCTCGCTCTCCGGGGACTAACGGCGTAACGGCGGTGTTGTTAATAACTTCACTACTGTCCCACTCGTCTTCCGCACTTAGGCACCTTGTGACTTTGGCACGGTTACACGGTGTACATGATCTTAACAGTATAATTAAACTCAATCCGTTAACGTCGTACTGACATATCATTTTTATGCCTCCGAAAACTCGAGCTCAATCTAGAGCTAACTCCGAAGAAAATACTTTCTTCACTACAGCTCAATCATTTGCCCCATTCTCCGACTCTATCTCTGCCATCGGTCAACCACGTCGCCGTAATCGCGGTTTCGGTCCAGCCACAGTTCCTACTACGTCGACTCTTCCTGAAGCCATGGAAGAAGAACAACAATTCGAATACAGCACCTTGTACACTGGTGACGGACAACCTGTCCAAGTCCTGACCCCTCGCCGTGGACAACCCCCCGTGGTCGCTCCGGCTCGGGGCCGGTCAACTACTCGAATTGATTCTCCAATTCTCCAAGCCATAGCCCGCCGTACGGGAAAACAACCCCAACGTCGAGCTGCTTCTGAATCTCCTCGTGACCCACCTCCTCACTTCGATTTGGACACCGGTGATCACGACGATCAAGACCCTCCTGTCGACCCCGACGATCCGGGTGCCGACAACAATAACGACGATCTGGATGACGATTCCGGCGGTTTACCGCGTGGTGAGCCTGGTGACCCCAGTGGACCTGGTGGTCCTGGTGGTCCCGGCGGTCCCGGCGGTCCTGGTGGACCTGGTGGACCTCGCTCTCCCATATCTCCTGACATCCCCAACGAGCAACGTGCTATGTTGGAACTCCTCTCGGGATTCAAGGGCTCCATTGAGACCCTTGGCACCGTCCTCGCCGCTCTCGGCCGTCCCTCTGATAGCTCTGAATCCAAGAGCAAAGTCAAGGAGCCCGAAGTATTCGACGGTTCGGACCCCCGAAAACTCAAGACGTTCTTCGTCAATCTCGCCCTGGTCTTTAATGACCGTCCAAAGTACTTCACCGACCAACGGAAGGTGAACTACACCCTTTCCTATCTCAGTGGGTCAGCCAAAGAATGGTTTGTCCCTGATATCCTCGACCCGGATCTCGACTCGCTGCCGGCCTGGACATCCTCCTTCAAAGCCCTTGTAAAGGAGCTTCAGGATAATTTCGGCGTTTACGACGCCCAAGGCGAGGCCGAAGATTCTCTCGGTAATCTGAAGATGAAGGAAACCGAGAACATCCGGAAATACAACATCCGGTTCAACACCCTGGCTGCTAGTACCAACTGGGATTCTGCTGCCCTGAAATGGGCTTATGGACGAGGCCTAGCTGAACGCATCAAGGACGAAATGGCGCGTTTGCCCGAGCCGGCGACGCTCGCCGATTATCGTCAGGAAGTTCTTCGTATTGACAATCGCTATTGGAAACGCGAGGAAACTAGAAAACGTGAGGCTGGTAAGCCTTTTGTTGCTCGGAACCCAAAGAAGGGTTCCTCGGACTTTAAGACTGGTTCTACTAACCAGCAAAACAACTCTCAGCCATCTGGCTCTTCGGCGCCGTTCACGCCGAAGCCTAAACCCTTCTCTGGTGGTAAGCCTAACAACAATGGTAAGCCCCAGAACTCTTCGAATTCCGGCCAATCCGGCGGTCAGCGCCCCGCGTTCAACCATCTTGGTGCAGATGGGAAAGTCCTTCCCTCCGAGAAGGAAAGAAGGATGAAGAACAACCTTTGTCTCTTCTGCGGTGGTAAGCATCAGATTGCTGACTGTAACAAGCGAAAGGCCCGAGAATCGAAGGGCCGTGCTGCTGAGGTTGAAGAAACCCCCGAAGCAACCGTAGAGGTTGTTGAAGAGGAATCGGAAAACTAGTCCGCAGCTCTTGTTCCCCGGTACGAAACGGGAGCTGCGTTGATCAGGTTCGTACCTCACCTGGGGAGTTATATCTCAACACGTCCGCTCTTTCTTCTATTGAACGATCTCTTGTAATATCTTTGACTACTGAATTTCCTTTGTCCGATTCGGCCGCGCCGGCCGAACCTATTTCTGCTCTTCTCAAATTTCCTACTCTTGTTGATTCTGGTTCTACTGACTCTTTCATCGATACTCGTTATGTTTCTCAAAATTCTATTCCTACGACCAAAATCTCTCCCGTTAATCTTCGTCTCTTTGATGGTTCATTATCTTCTAAACCCATTACCGATATGGCGAATATCGCCGTTCGGTTTCCTTCCGGCGAGCTGCTTCTATTACCCTTTTATGTTACTCATTTAGATTCATCCTGTAAAGCAGTATTAGGTTACAGTTTCTTATCCCGCTACAATCCGTTGATTGACTGGGCATCTCGAAACATTACGTTCCGTAACACTTCACATCTTGATTCTCCACAGACGTCTGTGCCTTCTGCTATCAACACCGTTGATGCAAAGGTCGCTGTTCCGTTACCGGAACTTTCGCCGTCGGTTTCACCGACAATTCTGGAGACCCCTCCTGGGGACTCACCTCGCTCTCGCTCTCGCTCCCGCTCTCGGACTTTACGGGCCAAGCCCCTTTCGTCCAAATTTCCCTTTGAACCCATCTATTCTTATCCTACGGTCTCTCAATTCGCTGCTCAACTGGAAACTCCCGAGGTCGACATTGCACTCGTCAGTGCTGCAGTCTTTAACAGGGCTTGCAAGGACGCTGGTATGGAACCTATCTTACTTCGTGCTATCCACTCAGAGGTCGCGGCCCGCGCCGCCGACCGCTCTTCCACCACTCCTACTGTCCCTCCACTCCATCCTTCTATTCCAGAAGAGTACGCAGAGTTTGCAGACGTCTTCGACGAGATTGCTGCAGACTCACTTCCTGAACATAGACCTTACGACCTGAAGATTGACTTGGAAGAGGGCGCTTCGCCGCCTCTCGGCCGTATTTACCCTTTGTCTGAAAAGGAGCTAGTCGCCCTTAAAGACTTTATTGACAAACAGCTGGCTACTGGTGCCATCACCCCATCATCCTCTCCTCACGGCGCTCCGGTCCTTTTTGTCCCGAAGAAAGACGGCAAACTTCGCCTGTGCGTCGATTTCCGTGGACTCAATCGTATCACCAAAAAGGATCGTTACCCACTCCCACTCATTTCAGATCTTCTCGACGCTCCGAAAAGAGCTAAAATATACACCAAATTGGATCTCGCTCACGCTTATCATCTAGTCAGAATCGCTGAAGGTGATGAATGGAAAACCACCTTTCGGACCCGTTACGGCTCTTACGAATGGAAGGTTATGCCGTTCGGCCTTACGAACGCCCCTGCGGCTTTCCAGCGGTTTGTTAATGACATCTTCTCTGACATGCTCGATGTCTGTGTCATCGTCTATCTTGACGATATTCTGATCTACTCTGATACGCCAGAAGAACACCGAGAACACGTTAAGGAGGTTCTTCGGCGGCTACGGAGACATCGGCTTTACGCCAACCCCGAGAAGTGCGAATTCAATATGGATACTGTTGAGTATTTAGGTTATATTCTTTCTCCCGACGGATTGACTATGTCCAAGGAGAAAGTGCAGACAGTTCTAGAGTGGCCGGTCCCGAGGAAGGTTAAGGAC